ACAGTAAACACCAACGGCCCAGATTGAATTTAAGCTGATCTGACGCTCATGACCTCTTTTCGTGTTTGAATTTTAATTTTTTTTTTATAAATCCAAATCACTTAATATTTTAGGTGCATATTTTTCTCATCATGGGAACCTAATAAAAATATATAAAAAATAATCAGCAAAAAAAAATGACCAAAATACCTCCAAAACTTCACAGGGGTATTTTGATCAATTTTTTTCATGTAAATATTTTTTTATATTTTTTGAAGATTCATCTATTTTTTATGTACACGTGCTTCAAATTTCAGATCATTCTGATTTATATAAAAAAAAATTAAAATTCAAACACTACTGGATATCCAGGATATCAGGTCGGCCCAGATTCAATCTGGGCCGTTGGCGTTTACTATAGCAGTACGCCATTGGGCAGTTTTGGCCTGGGCAACACCAATACTGTCTCCCAAGCCCAAACTGATCTAAATTGGCTTATTATTGGCATGTAGCATCTTGACAGCCCCTAGATCCCTCTAGAACTAGAAATTTTTCAAGTAGTTTTGGTTTGGGTGACACTGCTAGTGTCACCCAAAACCCAGACTAACCCATTGCATCTTGACGATTCCAAAATCATCCCAAGAGACTACCGATTTTGAGCAGATTTGGTTTGGGCGACACTCTTAGTGTCGCCCAAACCCGACTACCCCAAATTGGCACTTTCGGCATGCCAACACCTCCTGGATCATTGTTGGTCAGGTTCAATGAACCTGGACCATTTTGGTATGGGCGATGCTCCTAGTGTCGCCCCAACCTTGGATCAGCAAAACGACAGTCCATGCTAGGAAATCTTCTAGTTATGGTATGTTACCAATTTTCAACGATTTTCAGCTTATAAAATGTCATTTCGGAATCATTTTAGGCAGACTTTTAGACTCTGTAGACTCTTGAAAATCTTAGATGGTAGAGACTCTTTAGACCTTATTAGCTCGTGAGCCCAAATAAATTTTGAGATTGTGAGACTTGATCTAGACCTAGAAAAACCCTAACTTTAGGCCACCTGCAACCCTTCGATTAAGAGATCAATTCAACCAAGCCAAGGCCCGATCAAAATGTGAAGAGAAACAAAGTGGACGGACGGCATAAACTCAATTGATCCGGATACGGCCGAGGCCTCGATAGTCCCAGGCCAACTGGCTCAATCTGGCACATTTTTAGTCTTTCTTTTATTTCTTTTATATTTTTGTTTGTTTTATTAGAATTAAATTAATTTTATAAACACGAATAGATCTGGATCTGATTTACCATCTTTATGTGCTTGTTTGCCTCTCTCTTTGTTTTGCTTTTTTGAAATTGGGTCATGGACATTTAACCCGTTTTCACAGGCCTTACTTTACATTTGTTTTTTTTGAAGACCATAATACTGCTTTATTAACTCTTTTTAATCTGCTTGCAACTTTATTTTGCTAGAATTGGGTCGTCTATAATTCATTGGTTTTTGTGGGTTACACTTATGTGTTTCACTTGAGAGTGAGATTTTTTTTTATGAAATTGGGTCATTGATGTTTCACTGGTTTTTATTGGTTTCGCATGAAGTTTACGCATGAAATTTAATCCTTTGGCACGGGCCATGCTCGTTTCGTTGCTCTTCAAGTATTTAATAATTACTTTGGTGACTTTTTTTCCCCCTTCCAGTTAAGGCCTCCATTACCTGTTTACATCTTGTATTTATCAAACTGCTTGATTTCCAGTTTTTCTAAAATATGTCAGTTGGACATATTATACCTCAATTTGCTATTTTGTGCGGTACGGTGATGACTTGGTTTTTACTCAGTAGTTAAGTTATGTAATGTAGGTTATCTATGTGGTTTTTTTTTTTACTTTTTTATGTGTACTTCAACAGTGTAAAGTAGCAACCTTATATAAATTTTTTCTATATCACAATGTTTTGAAACTCGGATTGGTGAGGCAGATTGTTCGCTTGATCCGTGATCCAGTCCAAATTGGTGATATTGAAAATGTTAAAAAATAAATGAAATGAAATAAAATAAACACTAAGATAGGGGTTTATGGGCTTAGAATTTAAATGCGACTTAAGACAACAATAAGTTTAAAAAAAGGAAAACAAAAAAGAGGGATTTTAGGGGGAGCCGGGTTGGGAGCCATACCCTCTCGAAACCAATTTCATCTTGACTGAGTCCCTTTTGAATCGGCGATTGGAATAAAAAAGCGTCGGTTTTTAAAATATTGATTTAACACGAGAATCGAGTTTTTAGAATTTTACTTCACTCAAGTGTCTTAAAAAATAGTAAAGACTGAATAAATTTCTCCTTTTCAAAGACCTGAACAAACAAGAGCATGGTAATTTAGCCCCACTTAGAGCATCCTGAGCAAAAGATACAACTAGACCTAATTTTTTGGACTTACCTAGAATTTTTTTTTTTTGGGATAAATCAACAGGAGAAGGCCATCTACCCGTTGTTTCATTAAAATGAATACAAAAGATATACAAGCTCAAAAAAATACAACCCTATCATAGGGCATGTGAAACATCATAAAGCAACAATAAGCAAAAAAAAAAAAAAAATGCATACGAATGGATAGCCAAATAGTAGCCGCAGAGTAAGCAGTGGCCTTTTTTTTATTTTTTATTTTGGTAACAATGTCAACCACCATGTTGGCTTTACGAGAAGACGTGGGAAATCGACCAATCAAGACCATTTGAGGAGAGTTTATATTGGCAATTGGTTGCCACAACATGGAGTGACCAAGGGGGTTTGTGGTGACGGAATTGACCAAGAGGGCGTAGTCAATTTCGTATATCATAGGGAAGCATTGCAACTGAATTGCCAAATCAATACCTCCTTCCGATACATGAAATTCTGCAAAATTATTAGAAAAATTATAAAATCCAATTCCCAATGGAGCAGCAAAACAACAATAAATCGGCCACAATTATCTCTCCCACCAAACCAGGGTTCTAAAAGGAAGCCCCATCAATAATCAAGACTTGTCTAGATTTACTAGAAAAATGAGTCCTATGTTGTTAACCTTGAACGACAACACATTTTTGCGAAGAAGATTTACCACATGATAATTTTTCTGGTACAAGTCAATGGGTTAACTCATGCACTTAAAGATCTAGTGTATATAGAACTCACATGTCTGCAAGAAAATTAGCATGGTTTTGGCTTGATCAAAAAAGTTGGGCAACTGGCATAACACAAGTACAATAATCCAAGGAGTGCTTCACGAGCTTTGTAAGGAACAAATCAATTGGGACACATCATTACCAAAAATTAATAATTTAGAAGTACTCTTCAAGGGCTTCTTTGGATAAAAGTCAATCTTATCAAAAAGTAAATTATCTTATCTGAAATTAATATAATTTAAATAATATTATTTGGTATGTTATTTGACACATGCTATCTATTATATATAATGAAAAGTATACAATGAGATATTTTACCATTCGTAAAAGAACCGTTGAATGTGAAATTGGACGGCTGTATTTATTCATTGACCAAACTCAAACTTTAAAAGAAATTTTTTTGAATTTTATCACACCCAAACAATCAGATTTCACATTAGATACTTATAACTAATTGTGAAATCATTGTATCATCTATCAAAGGTATATAGTCTAATTGTATAACCCCTATATATAATATGGGAAGGCTTTATATCCTCCCCCTACCATCAGGCCGTCTATTTTTTATCAAGAGAGCCACTCACCATTTGATCTTAGATCCGACGTATCAAAGTATTTTATTTTTAGTTTTTTAATACAATTTTTCTGAATATGAAATATGATACGTGCCATCTTTTCATTGGGCGCACCTATAAAAAATATTAACAATAATTTTTCGGTAAAAAATAATGATCAAAATACCCCTTGAAACTTTTAAGGGTATTTTGGTTATTTTATTTTATTGAAAATATTTTTTTTATATTTTTCCTTAGTGCGAATTTAATAAAGGAATGGACGTCCAAATTTGATGTCAAAATAGTTTATAAAAAAAATTTAAAATAAAATAGTGTAGAGACGTGACATTGTGATTGGGACAATCTTAGTCCTCCATTAAAAAATAGACGGTTGGATAAGGGGGAGGATAGAACTTCTACGTTGCAGGGGGAACATAGAAAGCTTTCCCATATAATATTATCTAATTTGTATCAATAACTTTTAGCTATTTTTAGTTATTTCTAGCAAAAAAGACATATGATTTACCCCATAGGGGATTAATTTAAGGACGCATAATTTTGAGGATGTAACCTCTTTTAACCAAAATAAATGTGATAAGGCTCGGATAATGATGAACCTCTTCATCTCCTAAATTAATATCAACAGAAAAGGGAAAAAATCCGAATTGCACCCTCTATACACTTGATAAAAATAATGTCCTAATATTGAATAGAGATGGTCCAATTTCTAAAAGGTACGGATTTTATAGAGCTGAGGCTATAAACAATCAAATGAGAGCCTACCTTCAAATAGTATCGAGAAATATGGTTTCAATACTTGAAAATTTTGTACAGCCTTAAATTATATTTTCATATTTAGTTATAAAATTTAAAGCTCAAAAAATAGTATAGATCGACCAGATCTATGAGAACTTAAAAATCTTAAAGACAGACAGAAAAAATGTGTTAAAAGATACACTATTTTCAAAACTTGAAATCCAGTTTTTCATATCCATGCAGCTTGGTGTTAGAGATGATGGATTTGATGATATTTGGCATCAAAGCAACCTCTTTTCGGTAAAAGTTTTGAGGTAAGTTCTACTTTGATTGTTTAGAGCCTAGGCTCTATATAAACTTTTCCCATTTCTAAGGGTAAGAACATTTTTTATTTTGAGAATAAAAATCTTGTGATTTTGTTCCGAAAGGGTTTCCAAAATTTTATATAAAAAAAATCCTGAGTCCGACGTAGGGAGTAGATGTACACTCTGCTCCCCTAAGAGCACAGCTAACGTGCTCCTTATCCTTTTCCCCGGCGCCCTATTAAAGCGGAATTAAGACCCTTTTTTATCTCCTTGCCGTCAAATGGGGTCTTTGCCCTATGAAACCCTAACCTCTGGTCCATTTTCATCGCCATGGTAACCTTAATTATCTAACTTCGTTCAAAAGTATGTCTTTTGGTTCATGAATTGTTTGATTTTTAGCTGAATTGCCTTATAATTTTCTTAGATTTTGCTGGATCATGATTCAATGTCAAACTGTAATCTGAAATAGTAATTGATGTTTCGTGATCCTAACCAGTTAGGGTTTCCATTTTTAAGGGTCGCATTATCAGAAAATATCAGTATTCATTTGATTCTTGTGTGGAGTTTTATAAGCTCAATTAAGATTAGGGATTCCGCTTGTTTCATTGTCTAGAGAGAAAGAGAGAGTTTTATCAATGGACGGTAATAAGGACGAAGCATTGAGATGTGCTGGTATTGCAAAAGCAGCTCTGCTCATGGGTGATAAACTCCGAGCATTGAAATTCATTGGAATTGCTCGAAGGCTTGATCACAATTTACCCCTAGATGATCTTTTTGCTGCTTGTGAATCCTTGAATGATGAATCTAGAGAGAGAAAAACTGAATGCGCAACGCAATCTATGGACTCGCGTAATGGAGATACTAAAGAGAGAATGGTTGGTGAAGATGAGGTTGGGGTTCATGGTGAAGAACCCAATTCAAATAGGGATGTGAAATTTAGAGAGAGAACTGATCGCAAATCTGTTGCTGTTGAGGATCAGACCAATGGAAAAGAACACAGTGATGATGATGATAGGAGCTCAAGGGAGAGATTTGGCCATGGCTTCGTTGCGAAGGAGGGTCAGAATTATGGCAAGGAACATGGTTCTAGCAGAAATAGGAGATCTAGAGATAGGATGGGGCGTGACTTTATCGGTTGCGGGAGTCCAAATTATAGTGAGGAAAATGTCCAATTAATCAGGGAAATCAAGAGAAACAAGGATTACTATGCAATATTGGGTGTGGAGAAGAGCTCTTCAGTTGAAGAGATTCGAAGAGCTTATAGGAAGCTCTCCCTTAAAGTTCATCCTGATAAAAATAAGGCCCCAGGTTCTGAAGAGGCATTTAAGATTGTTTCGAAGGCTTTTAATTGTTTGAGAAATGAAGAATCAAGGCATCATTATGATCAAACTGGTTTAGTAGAAGATTCAGAGGTGTTAAACCATCAAAATATGAGGCGGAGGAGGACTAGGAATACCTATTATTATGAGGAAAATTTTGACCCCAATGAAATTTTCCGGTCTTTTTTCTTCAGTCAACAAGAGCATACGTTTCAAACTGCTCATATGCATAGGGCTAGAGAGATGAGAGAAGAAAGGAGGAGGAATGATAGTGGTGATGCATTCAATTTCATGATTTTTCTACAAATTGTGCCACTCTTGCTTTTCTTCTTGTTTGCTTTTCTTCCAACTTCCGAACCCAACTATTCTTTGCAGAGGACCCACAGCTACCATATACGTAAGGTTACTGAGAAATATGGTGTTGAGTTTTTTGTGAAGTCCCCTAATTTTGATCAAGATTTCCCATTGGGAAGCCCTTCTAGAACAGAGTTGGATGATTATGTAGTGAGAGACTATAAAAATGTGCTTTCACGCTATTGCCACATGGAGCTACAGAGGAGTCAATGGGTGAGAGAGTACCCGACCCCTCATTGCGATAGACTAAGGGATCTCAAAGCCGCTTTATAAAAGCACGGTATCATCTGATCTTTGACTTTTTCGCTGATGGGTAATGATGTAAAGATTCTATCAAATAAAACAAGGGAAAGTATATCGAAAAAAAGACGATCAAATTTTAGCCCACATTTTGTTAGAGCTTGCTGCAGTCTTTCCTTCGCTGAAGTATTTCCTTTGACTCCGGATCTTTGTAATGTATTATATGCGATATGATGGGTGTAGGATCCCATCATTGATGAAAGTATGCAATTTGGTCTTTGTGCTATATATCACAATTAGTACTATGCTGTGAAGAGGCAGGTGCGGCAGGGTTTACATGAGATTAGCCGAAAGCTTATATGTGGTGTTCATTATGTCACAAACAGTGGTTCTTCAGGTATGACAGTCATTGAATTTATGGAACTTCTGCAATTATCTACAACGTATACTCTCATTTTAGCAGAGTATATCTACTGTGGATTTCACAACTATATTATGTTTTTCCCATTTTGTGGCCTCTATGATGATCTATGGTCTTTGGCGACACAATAATTTGGACTTGCTTTCAACCTTAGCATGTTATTAAATTTGAATGTGTCTGCATTACCCACCTGAACTGTTTCCATGTTCATGCTGTTTTACAGAGACTTCAGTTCAATACCAAAAGTTTTGATCTGAACATACATTTCATATGACATGCATTCAGATTGTGCATGAGTTTTGTCTTATTGAGTAGTTAAATGTGTTTGAGTATGTGTCCTTGTGTGTCTCTGCGGCTCATGTGCCTTCGTGTCCAGAACAAACTAATTCATGGCAACCCTTCTGTGACATAATTGGAATCCAATGGAAGGCTAAAAACCCTCTATGTAGGACGACCTAGTTCAAAGTGTGATATGTTGGATGCACAATTGCATGGAGCAAGGTATTGGCATATCCCTCAAGAAGAGTTATTTTGCTTCCTATTTCGGTGATTTTAGTTGATCTTCCCTTGCTATTAATAAAATCCATGAAATTTCCCAGATATCATGTGTTGTGTCTGTTATCAATTGCACATCACCTACCCATGCTTTCACATAAGGAGCCCTGATCATGCCCATGTTGTTGTTCTCATCTTTGATGCTGGATGTTATGTGGCCATCTCTTTTGTCTCTGAATCTTGATTGCATCTACTCTTTCACCTTTTCCGTGGCCTTATATAAAAAGCCGATTAGAATGGTGAGGGAAGGGCCTCAAAGGACATAAATAGAAGTAGTGAAATAAGATATGGTGACTTATGATCTGTCTGAGGGTTTGGCCCTTGATAGAGTGGAATAGAGGAACAAGATCTGTGTAGCTAAACCCACATAATTGGGATGAGGTTCGGTTGATGACGATGATGGCATAAGAAGCCAATTGTAGGTATTTCTTTGTTGTCTATGATACCTATGGCTCAAACCAGATTATACCTAACCAGATTATGCCTAGTACTTATTTTTATTTAGTAGAGTTACCTTGAAACTCTTGCATGATTTGATTGCTATTAAGCGTAACTACAGATTATCTTTGTTGCCTATTGAATCACTGTTCAATGTTGTTTATATAAGGTTTCAGACCCATGTGTGACTCTTAAGTAGATCTTGTAGTTTGTAAGGGAAGTAACTTTTTTTGCTCATTTCTTCAAGCGTAAATTATACGGTATCATTAGAACTGACAATAGAGTGGATAATACTTGGCATTTTTGACCTATTTCACTGAATATTGGTGATTTCTGCTGAGGTTTTATCCTTGTTGAAATTGAGACTTTTTTGATGGTTGTATCTTGATTTCTAAAAGTAATTTGTGGCGACTCTAAGTAGATCTTGTAGTTTGTAAGGGAGGTAACTTTTTTTGCTCATTTCTTCAAGCATAAATTATACACTGCTTGTGTTGGTATCATTAGAACTGACAATAGAGTGGATAATACTTGCCATTTTTGACCTATTTCACTGAATATTGGTGATTTCTGCCGGGATTTTACCCTTGTGGATATTGAGACTTTTCCAGGCTTCATTTTGACGGTTGTATTTTGATTTCTAAAAGTAATTTGTGGTGACCCCTAAATTCTATCATGGCTCTATATTTTCTTTTAAGATTGATTTCTGACGTTCACTGTTGTATAGATGTTAGGGTTATCTATGTACTATCAATTACGGATGCTCTACCCATCTAATGCATCCTTGGCAGAGAAATGGTAGAGGAGGGCATTTTTTGACTTTGCCCCTCATAGAAACCTACTTCTTTTTAAAAGAATTATAGCCATTGTTTACAAGATATTGATATTTTAAATACCTATATCATGCTTTTGAGTATTAAAAAAAAAATTGTTGGAACAAAAACCTCCACAAAACTTGCCAAGTGAACTCAACCCCCTAGTAGGGGCAAGGTTTACAAATGAAAAACTCCGGCTGAGAGGTTTTTTTTTGTTTTTGGTAGTTTGACTAAGAAATGGTGTGTTCTGGCTGGCAACTTCGTGGTGTGTTTGGTGGGTGAGATGGGTTCGGATCTCAGAATTGAGACATTGTGTTCTCTTTTTTCACACAAAATTTGGGAAATTTTACCTTGGAAAAGCTCAGCCGAATTTACTCTGAGTTTCAGTATAAGAAATAGTAAAATATTAAATGTTTTGAAAAGATAGTTTAAAAAAAATAATGTTAACGGAGAGGCAAAACTTTTCTACTAGTTCTAACTTGGGTGTAGAGAGTTGAGGAGTGGCAATGGGTCCGACCCGCCAGGTCCAATTTTTGGATCCATACCGAGACCTGGATCCCAGGTCCCCCGGTCCATTGCTTATGTCTACTTAATATAGTAATGTCAAAGTGGCATTTTGGTAGTATGATGGTTTTATGTACAAGCATTTGTGATAAAAGTACATGAAACTTATATGTAATATGTTTATGCGTACAAAAAATTGATGATATTGTCAGACACGTATGATCAAGTGTTAATAATGTTTTTCCAATTGTCTGCATATGTCTGTCTTAGTGTCGATACTTATTGACACACGACATCAAACAAATTTCAAAGTGCCAATTTGGCACGGATGATGACCTAGGCTACATGGTGAAGAGTAAACTTGTGTTTCAGATCTCATCAAAATTTTCAGTTTTAAGAAATCCTCAAATTAATGAACCCAATAATTATGGATTAAAAAAGCTGACTTCAAGTCTTAAAAATATTTTACCTTAAAATATATTTTTTGGACCTTTGGTTTTCAAGTGTTTACATATGGGCTAGATATGCACTTTATTGGATATTCAAATTTCCTAATTAGAGGGAGAGAAATTTCAGGCTATCATAGGCTTTCAGCTCCCAAACTGCATTTCTTGTGCGTTTCGGGTGGGATAGAGTCCTTTCCCTAATCTATAAACCAAAATGGAAGCTTATTTTGTACTACGAAATGAGAAAAAAACTTATATAAGGTATTAACCTCATACTATAAAAGTTTGCCGCATCTCACTGGAAAAGGTTTGTTCGACAAGAAAAACCTCCCTCGAGATGTATAAGTATGAAAAAAAAAAAAACAAAGAAGATTTCAAGACAAAAAATAGTATGCCTTGAACATTCATTTTCAAGATTATCTAATGTTTACAGGCCTACTTAATATGCAATAATTTTATAATATTAAATTTTATAATTAAGAATGTAAATAGATTTTCAGGCCATCATTAGATTGCAATTGTTCCCAACACAAAAACTGCATCCACAGGACTTGGAAGTGCAATTTACTTTGATGGTTTAAAAGTTGACGCCCTATATAAACCAAAGGAAACTTTTAGAGTTGTTTTTTCCGAATACTTTCTTCAATGTGCAACAATTCTGGAGAGCCAATGGAAGTAGTTTCTGGTTTCTATCATGAAGAGATTCTGCAGAGCCAATGGAATTAGTTTCTGGTTTCTATCATGAAGAGGGACAAAGTAGTAGATGAAAAAAACAAATACGAGATCCAAAGCCCCTATGATTTTTAAGTAGGAAAATATGGGGATCCCCCGCCAAAAGACGTGAGAGCGAGCTGGAAGCGTGGTCCGACGTTGTTCTGGAATTATTGTGCTGGCTATGAAACTCCCCTCTGGACCCTCACCTTGAGAGGATCTCAAAATAGGGAACCCTAGAATGCTGCTTCATCAGGCACCTGATCCCTGTCGTTGTGATCGCCAGAAGCCACGGTGATAGGAATTGGAATTGGAAAGCCCAAGGAGACAAGGAAAGACTCTCTTCAGTACCAAGTTTCAGATGCGATTTAAACCCCGGGCTCTTCCCTCGGAAGAAGCATATACAAAAACCAGTGTTTGTTTGAAGACCCGGATAAATGGGGTGAATTGTTCACCTACAAATCTGCATCGGATCATTGGATTGGTGATTCAAATCGGGTTTGGATCAGTCTGAATTGATGATCTATAAAAATGTTAAAAAATAAAAATTAAAATATGGGTTTATTGGATGGTGATTTAGAGGGGATCTAAGAAAATATTGGATAAATTAAAAAAAAAGAATAAAATATGTACGGGGTGCTTACTATCTTTGAATCAGTTTGGTGCTGATCAATCCCCACTCGAATTGGCTATCCGGATTGGAACTCCTCTCAATTTAAAACACTAGCAAAAACTATTTTTTCCCATAATTGCAAAAGAGAATAAACATATAAAGAGAAAATAATTGATTTTGTGGACCTGGGGCTGTAAAACTTCAACTATAACATTATACCTAGTTATTTAAACCAGTAAAAAAAACTAGTTATTTAATGAAATAAATTTCCTTGACCCAAGCATCATTCGTCTTTGAGAGAGAGCTTCTTGCTTCCAGGTCAGAGAGATAAGAAAATCCTGAAGTTGGGAGGCAACGATTGATAAGAAAAGAAGGTCGCATAGTGGAAGGACAGTGAGTGAGATAATAAGAGAGAGCGGGTTAATAGAAATAAAATCTAGCATTCTTAGTAGAAATATCGGCATTTTCTTTTTAAGGCAATCATACACAACAAATGCAAAGAAAGAGAAAATGCAAAAAAAAAAGGGAAAACTGTGTTTTACAAAAAAAAATTATATATAGGAAAGTACTAACAAGATAGAAGATTGTATATTGTAGGAGTGTCGTGGAATGTGCTAACCACTTGAATTGTATATGAGTTATACTTCTTTACAGTTGTATAACTATTATATATACGGTAATGAAAGAACCACCACCATGGTGTGAGATACAATTTTTTTTTAAAGAAGTGCCCCAATCTGTCTGTGTAAATTTTTTTTTTATGGTATTCGAGCAAGCACCTCGGGCTTGGTTTGATCGATTTAATTGCACCTCTTATCATTTTGTTTTTATTGCAATATAATTTATTTATCTCTATTTGTTTGTCGCTCTCATCAAAGTATTTTCTCTTTTATATTGATAAAATTATTGTCACAAGTGATAATTCAGATATTTTAGAATGGTATATTTTCCAATTCCACTTTTCTAAGACAATACTAGTACTCTACATGATAGTTAATCATGTTTTTAGTAGTCTACATGATAGATAATTGAGTTCGACGATCATTTTATGTGTGAAAAAGGTGTTCTTGGATTACTTGTTGCACGTTTTGTTTCCTATTGCAATTAAGCAGTTGATATCTTCACTCAACATCTACCTCATGTTGTTTTTCCGAGATATTTACTTCAAACTTGGAGGGG